TCTAGGCATCCGTTATCCTGTCCGGGAACAAACCCGACGGCCAGTTAGTGGATACTGCTACTCAGGCACATTATGTTATTTTCAGGCGAAAGGCGCAACCCGAGATGACGGAAAAACAGGGCACCGAGATAAGGGAAGCGGGGACTATCTGTCACGACAGGGGTGTCAGCTGTCGCACCAACTAGTCGGCCATAACCCCTGCCTCATGGCAGGCGACCTGTTTTATCTTCTGCAGCTCAGCTCAGGTTTAAATCGTAGTGAGGGGAGAAAGGGGACATCGGGAGCAGAGACACCATCTCCACGGGTGTATACTCGAGCTGGGGAGAAGTGTGTGTGAGAGCGGTGTGGAGATGTGATTCTTTGTAAATGTTGAATCTATGAAATGCTGGTTATTCTCCTTTGCATTAGCCGATAAATAATTGACGGCTATTCGTCCTTTCATGTCACAAACAGCCCCAGAGAAGCGGCCTTTTCATCAACAGCTTCAACCGGGAGAAGCAAAAGCAAAGCGTACAAAACCACAACGTACTAGAGAGCACAGATGCAAAACTTTGCGGGCCACGCATCAGACCAAAACCTGGTGTGATCAACAGCGGCGAACATCCAGTGAATCATGACCCACAGCTGTTGTTCAGATGTGACCATCCATCAGAAACTCCGGGCCACTTCTACGCGAGCGTTTGTCTATTTGCTGATCCTTACCTGACCACAAACAAGATCCCAGCATGCATCTCCATAGATGGTCTCTTTTGTATAGGTGAAACGCTAAGCCCACACCAAACAACCCCAGGCACGTGCGGCCACCGTCCGGGTGGCATGCACACCGCCATTTGGTGCTCAAAGCACAAAGCCAACCACCGCCACTCATCCCGCCCGCAGCCTCTCAGACGAGCAACGCCGCCATCAAAAACACACCAGATAGCACGAGGAATGTGAGAACACCTTGCCCCGGAAGGTGACCGGACATATCACTCGATCGGGCAGACGCAGGCTGGACTCGGGCCAACATGTCGCTACAACATTTTGATATTAAGTCCGGAGTAGGACCTTACCACCACCCACCTCACGTAAGGCCCGTTACCATCTTTACGATTGCTCAATGCACCACGCGACTGTTGTGTACGGTACGAGGGCCAATGAGGTCACGCGCCGCCTGAGCGAGCCGACCGCCGTCACGAACACGGCGGACGCGAGTGCTGACGATCTCGACCAGCTTTCGATATCCCATCGTCCCGTCTTTCCCTCTTTCGATATCCCATCGTCCCGTCTTTCGATATCCCATCGTCCCGCCTTTCCCTCTTTCTACGACCAGGACGCCGCCAATGACAATGTCGGTATCGGTATGTACTGGCTGTTTGCTGTCTTCGACATGTCTGCGTATAAGCACAGTTAGTCCCACCATATAAGTGAAAATACGTGATGCGGTTCCGACACAGTCGTGCGATCTCTTGCGCCACAAAACATATCTTTTATAATGCACAGGGCGGTAGGGCATAACTGTACCATAGCGTCACCTGAAGCGCCGTCTCGTCAAACCCCAAATATCGTGGCGTGGCCACCAATGCGTGGAAGACTCCTCCAAGACGCCCTACACTCAGTGCGAGGCCTGCGGCAGGCGGCTACGAACGTCATCCAGTCCGCCAGAACCACCTGTGAACATGTGTGATGCGGCAATGCCAGCTTGTCCTCCACCGCCGGTGAGCATGTCTGAGGCTGAACTTCTGAACGCTGTGAAGAGCACGACCGTGTGCGGCCACCTGACGGCCGTGACTTACATAGCCTCATGTGGTGCTCCTCTTCCAACCTCATGTCCACACAGTCGGACTCGTATTGACAGAAGTCCTTTGCCAAGCGATGCCTCTGACATGTCACTACGTTCGTTCCTGGCGCTACAAACCCCAACCAAGCCACTATAGGTGGTCGCTGCACCGACGGCGTACCCCTGTTCGGGGCACTTGTCGAGTGGCAGCTTCACCGATGGCGAGACGCAAAGCTCAACAAGGCTCGAATTCACGCGGTGTTCGACGCACGGCCAGATATCACCGAGATAATGAAAGGCAGTTGCATGCCACCTATTTACAAAATGCCGATATTGGCCTCGCGCCCGTTCGTTTCTGCACTGGTGCTGAACCTCAGTGTCTGGTGTTATCCGTCGGCAGGGGCGTTGTCGCGGAATACGTTGTTCTCAGGGAGGGCACACCGTTGATCTACGCTCCACCGGCCTCGTACCTCCAATGTGTCAAACCAGTGACTACAGAGCGGTGAGCTCCGCTGTGAAAACTGAGACCGTGCCAGTAAGCATCTTTTCGGCAAAACTCCTCGCCCGGAAAAAGCATTACGACACAACTTCTATGGCCAGAGGGCCGAGCAGGCTCCATCGAGGACGAGTTGATTCTGACGCGCGACACGACCTTTCTGGCCAGAGGGCCGAGCAAGCTCGATTGAGGATGAGTTGACTCTGACGCGGGCTGGAAACAAGATCGGCGTTGATCCACCTTTTCATCTGTGCTATCATGGCCGTGCACATCCATGCGCGCAGGCACACGCAGTGCGCCGAGCGCACTAACACATGACAAACTATGCAATAAATAGTTATGCACCAAGCATAGCCAACAGCTCCCAATATGTTTGCACAGATAGATGGACCTGTGTGACTGTGGAGATGACATGTGAGCTCTGAGAGTGGGGACCCAATGCCAATGTGACAATGGGCAGAGCTGTTCTATGGACAAGAATAAGGGGGTGGCTGTGCTTACCTAATAAAGTGATGAAAACAGGCTCTCACACTACAACAACCTGAAACATCAAAACATATTCAGGAAAAATGCCAGGAATTCTAGATTTAGCTGACATATGCATGAATGCATGTATGTACACATGCACACATGCATGCACCCACCCAAAGCCAATGTAAAGGAGAGCTTGTGTGAGCCCTGACATCGCCATCCAATGGTTAAATTTCGGTTCAACTGAATCCATTTTTGGGAAACCTTTAAGGAGCTGTTTCACAATTGTATGGGGATTGCACATTGTGTACTGAACATTTCTAAGTGTGCAAATAGTGTAAACACATTTGTGTACTGCGCTGATATAGCCATTTTCATGATCATTTCCTGAGGTTCACAGGCATGTTTTTTAAGACTTAAAACACTCTGGTTTCTGAGCTTAACACATGTTAACTTGTGCAGCCTATGACAGAATGAATGACATCCGGCTCACAGGCACATCACCAAAACATGCATTATGTCAAAAATAATGTATGACAAAGCATGACAAATGTCATGCGGGTACTCTACCTCACTGGGTGTTCTCAGCTCATAGCTAAGAGAAGCACAGACAGTAACACATTCATATCTTAGGTGCTTCAGCACAAATTGTCCCGACAACAGAAGGAAATTAGCAATCAGTCAGGTTTTGCTATGACTGCATGCCTCTACCGCAGCACAACCAACACTGACACCTTACTGCACACACAAAGAAGTTTGAGTGAGTCACACCATCCATTGCATTGGCAACTCTGGCACAGCAACTCTAGCAGCAACTCTAATGCCATGAACATGCTCTATGATGTAATCACACAATGACACCATGAGTAGCACATTTACTGATAAGAAAAATTGCTATTTGGTGCAGGCTGATGCACTCAAATTTGATGTTTGTCACAATATCTCCAAATGTGGAACAGTCTCTTAAAGGTGGCATAATGATTGGCAAAGTTTGTCCTGCCCTCTGAGATCATTTGATCTTATGTTTGGCCACTGACACCACCTGCAGATCTGTCAGGAGCAAACAGCTACCTCATCTGCCCCAGTCCCAAATGAAATCAGTATCTTTTGGATTTAAGCATGAAAGTGTGAGTGCACACAAGCTGTGTAAATATGTATAATGCAAGTTTTAGTGATACATGCAAACATATTTGTTTTGTTCTTAGACATTTTTTCAGACACATCAAACCACCTGTTTGGTCAAAGCTTAATTTTGAATGCTTGGATTTTAGTCATACTTGCTAGGAAGATGCAGAAAACATGTGGTGTATCACAGAAGCTTTATGTTTTGCTACACATCCACCAGCCTATCTCCCAGAAAAAGCTTGGGTAGGGTCTGATTTTGTGGTTTAATTGGAATCCTTTCAAAGGCACAGATTTTCTAGAATATAAGTATAAGGGAACAAGTTACATGAAATATTCAGGAAGGTAGACATCAAAGACCACATCCAAAAAGCTTGAAAGCATCAAAATCAAACAATAAAGAGGTCAAACTTTTTTCTTCAGAAGTTTCCCATAACATTCTGCAGTCCCAAAACACCTTTTTCAGTACTTGAACCCTTAGAAGCAACAGTATGAATAGTAGCACCTCAACTTTCAGGCACTTTAACTGTGTGGTCACTTAGTGTCAATACTTCAACCTTGAATATCCAAATAACAAATCCCATATTGTTCTGTAATGTACACTTCACACAAGGAGCATGCACCATATGCAAGGAGGATGTACATCACAAGCATTTTACAAACAGTCCCTCCAGTGCGCCAAACGCCAGCGATACTGATGCGCCGAACCTGGCGCAAAAGTGCGTCAAACTCAGTTAAGACTGAATTACTGAATTATCTAATCGAAGCAATATTGAACTAACAAAAAGGGGAGGTTTGTGCGTGAAATTACTACAGCAATATTGCTCCTATCATGACACGCTGGCCTCCCATAGGCTGAATTAGTGGCAGCATAGCGCAAATCTTCGGGCACTTGGATTTACTCCGGGATGTACGGAGTATACGCGCCAAAAATCTTGGCGCAATTTTGCCACTTCGACATTTTTGGCATAATACACATAATTTTCAGTCCAACATCAGTCGCGACCGTTCCCACACAGACAACACCAAACACTATCAAGCGCAACGCACGGTCAACTGCCATACACGGTAAAAACGCGTCCGCGCCGGGACCACAGAACATGGCGAGTGACAGAAAAGCACCCTTGTGCGGCCCTTGCACTTCTCACTTACTTGTAACAAAATGATCTCCTTTTGACAGCGGCCAACAACCCTCCAATACCCGCCAATCAACCAACCCGGACGAGCAACCACACCTATCCTAGATAGCACGGAGCACGCGCCGGTCCCGGGATCCTCGCGCCTCGCTCCCACGCTGACAAGTTTTGCCAAGGTTGGCAAAAATATGGGGCATCGAAAATAATTGTTGGTGTTACCATTTCGCGTAGGTGTGACGTCATTAGGAAACGGCCCCGTCTCATTCGACTGAAGGCCATGCGAAACGAACCGGCCACAACCGTGAACAAGCAGTGTAAGCCATGCGCATATTTCAGTACTGAGGTATATGTTAAAAACAATAGCACTTGCGACGGAGCTGGGCTGCATTCATGCATCCAGTAGATAGTGCTGTAGCACTTCTCTTACAGAGGCGAGGGCCCATGACCTGGAAATGGGTTTCGGAAGGCTAGGTGTCATCACGTTAGGCAATTATCACGCGTTACATATGCACACAACAAATATCGATCTGACATGGGATGACCTCTACAGGTCAAAGTTTGTCATGCCCCGTGTAATATGGAAGCCCCCATGAGTCCCATATTACAGTCACCAGGAAATAATGCATTGCGGCAGAAACTGGTCATAACCGGATATTGATACAATTGGGTATTATTCGATCAAGCAAATGGCACCACTCAACTCGACACCACATCTCCTTTCTAAAGATGTGTGTTTCAAAATTGTTTGCGTGAAGTCATCACGTCACCGGACATGACCTGTACTGCAGGTTAGCTGTCTTTTTTTAGTTTAGCTGTTTAGGTGTCTTAACTTTTTCAGCTTAAGGTTTTGACTACGTGGTGCGCACATTCGAATAAAGCAGACTGATATCGGTTGTAGTACATTAGTTTGCCTTGCTAAGCTATCATCACGCATTACATACGCACACAACAAATATCGATCTGACATGCGGTGACCTACGGAGGTCAACATTTTTTATGCACCGTGAAAAGCAGAGGCATATCCTCCCCCCCCCCCCCCTATCTAGGCTCTGCTACGTTTGTAGCGTTTTGAAAGAAAATGAAACGGCTCAAGATTTTTAGATCGTTGGGTCCCATGTTAAAATGACCAGAAAATAATGCATTGCGACAGAAACTGATCATATCCAATCATTTGTGTGCATAAGTTTTGGGCTAGGCATCATCCGACGAAGCAGATGGCACCAATGAACTCGGCATTACATTTCCTTCCTGGGGATGTATCATTGTCATTGCTTGCATGAGATGCAGCTCGTGATCTGACATGACTTGTACCTCAGTTCAGGTGCTTAGCTTTTTTCCCACCTCATAGCTCCGACTTAATCTGTATTTCAGCAGACCAAACGGTTTTCAACACATGACGTAGCCTGGGTTAGCAATCATCACGCGGTTATGTGTTTGTAGACACACACACTCACACACACACACACACACACACACACACGCACACACACACACACACACACACACACACACACACACACACACACACCACACACACACACACACACACCACACACACACACACACACACACACACACACACACACACACACACACACACCACACACACACACACACACACACACACACACACACACACACACACACACACACACCTTTGTGACGTCCATAGGGGTATATATATATATATATATATATATATATATATATATATATATATGTGGATTCAATGAACCAAATACCGCTGGTGCTAATCTGTAAAGATATCTGAGCAATTGGAGTGCGTCAGAGCGGCATGACAGTTGGTAGACAAACCTCGCACTTTTGTAACGTCCGTAGGCGTATGAACGTTTCAAAAAGTGGGGGAGGGGCTAAGCTCAGGGCATACTTCAGGAACTTTTTCTGGAAAACAAGCCGGATGAACGGGTGGGGTGGGGTGGGGGTGGGGGGTAGAGATGGAGGTTTTCGCTCTTTATTCAAACGTAATGACTGCTATTCTAGGTATGCATTTAGAGCTGTTTCTCACCGGTGCACACTCTTGCCCATCCGCTTCATCTATGCCATTCGGAAAATAAGGCTATCCAGCCTCCCAAGATTATTCATCCATTTCAACGTTGTCTTTCCTGGGGAGCCGAAATTCCACGAGCGGGTAGGCATTTTGGGCCATTGAGGAGGCATCTGTCGTCACATGGTAGATGCCAAAATATGGCCTGAACATAGGCTGGTGAGAGTTTTGGAAGTGAATCGATAGCTCACAGTGCAACAGATTTTGCATGCGCCCTCCTTTCGCTGGCTGCTTTTCAAGAGATAAGACTTGTCACATTTTAGGCGTAAACAAATTTAGAAGCTTGAAACTGCCAAAAATCACGTGATAAAAGTCATAGAACTGGAGAATCTCCTTTGAAAACCAAGCTACAAAATAGAGGCCCTTCTGTCATATATTCCTTGTCCGAGCCCTGCTCCCATCCGCCGTCGGAGGCAGCTGTCCTGGTCCGGCTGTCTCCGAATGACTGACGGCGAACTGATGGTATGACTGCTTTGTTGCACATTTCTGAATCAGCATTGCTACTAACTGGGATGTAAAACATGTATTGCGACACTTGCAACAGTACCTTTTTCCTAATTATCTTCCCTCACAACACATCGCAACAGACAAATGCCGCGGGGAAACTGCCTACTTTAGGTATGAAACGGCCCAACGGCCATTTAATTACCCGCCCAACGTAGATAACTTGATCTGCTTGTGTGTGTGTAGGCAAGGGGTAACCAAAGCCTTGCCAAGAGGAATACAGGGTTGACAAAAAAACGTTTATGGTGATCCCTCCACAAAAATACACCGAACATGGTTTACTTGTTAACAAGGGATACGGTTTTCTTCGTTTCATTGTTGTTTGTACGTGGTAACCGGAACAGAAACCAGAGGCTACCGTGAAATAAATTATGTTTACATTTTGAACACACGCCCGGGTGGCCGGCTAGATACCCTTCGCTCAGGTAGGGGTCAGTTTCGCATCCCTGAGATCTCAGGAACTAAGAGAGCTAGAGACACCAATTGGCCTGTACGTGAACTCACTTAGGTCAAAATTTGGGGTCCCTAGGCCATGACTTTTGAATAGAATAAGGTCAAACAAGGTCAAATTCCAGGTTGGTCTCCAAAGGGCTTCCATAACCTAGATAACTGTCTCTAAGCAAAACTTCACATGCTCAGTTAAGGTCAGTGAAGTTGTCTGACCTTTTGAAGGTCATGGTGACCAAAATCATACAAGACGGTTCTGAGTTTTGCATTGGAGTAAGCGAGAAATACTACGTTAGGTGGTATTTTTCTTTTTTTAAAAATGTTGACCTAGTTCATTTTAGGTCAATGACCTATTCTGACCTGTAAGAAGTCCATGGAAAATGTATAATGTGTTTCCTGCAATCGATAGATTCGAAATGAGCACCAGAGACTATCCTATACAGCAAGCCCTAAAGTAATAGAACAGGTTGGTTTTGACCTTGGTCTGACCTTTATATCTGACCTTAGGTCAACGTAATTTGTTCATGAAATATGTGTGTTGCCTAAGAAAGCATCTCAGAGATGTATGGCTTCGTCTAACATTCCATTGTTGCATCAGATTGAACGACTCCCTAGAAGTCGACTTCGCTGAAACCATGGCCTGATTTTGGCCTGCCATAGGTCAGCGGCCTTGTAAGTAAATCTCAGCTTTTGATGCCAAGCGATCCACTATTCAATCGTCTACAGCTGTGCAATATATGGCGTGGCTGCGTGGCCGTTCGGAAACAATTCTGAAAAACCTTCGGGGGCGAGTCAGTTTGACCCCCCACCCGAGCGCGTGTTAAGGTTAATAAAATGCAGAAATCAGGCGTTTAACGACCGTATAGAATACATCACTGGTGTCCTTAATTTGCAATGGCTTAGTGGACCCCTTCTAAACCGATAGAACTCAGAAGCTTTTCCATAATGTTTTATCTGCGCTCTACAGACATTGAGGACATCGCGAAGGTAGATTGTAGATCGATATGTTTTGTCAAAATTTGAGGGTGAAAATTTCGCTTGCAGATCGAGTGGTCAGCAATGTGTATTAACATCGGCAAACCATGTTGGTCTGGAAATGTAAAATATTTAGTCAGAAGCGATCAATGATACAACTTAAAGAACGTGTTTTTTAGCATGCGTGCTCGCAAATCTTAGCAACAAAAACCTCGACACCAGGCGTTGCAGTCTCCGTGGTCCGCAGAGCGTTGGCTCAGTGGTTGACTTTTCGTCATGGTCCACCGGTGGACGAAAATGATAACGATTCTGAAATAATTACCTGCAGGCACTTGAATTGGTTACTAATAAAGGCTATGTGACATAATTTTGAGCATGCGTACTAGCAAATCTTGTTTTAAAAAAACCTCGACGCCATGCGTTGCAGTCTCCGTAGGCCTCGCAGCGTCGGCTGAACACCTGATATTGAGCCCTGGCCAACGGATGGACGAAAATGAAGACGAGTCTAAAAAAAGTACCTTTGAACGCTTCAGGACGTCAAATGTTACATGCTCAAAGCAGTCTGGGCGCAGGTTTCACGTGTGCGATTTTTAGACTGATGATAAGAGCAAATTGGCCCGTAAAACTCCGCGCAGTGGTGCTGGAATCTGGTGGTGGAACTGGAAGAGTAAAGGTAGATTCTCTATTTTTCGTGTTTCTGTAACAACTAATCTGCCCAGAAGACAGATTACTACGGCGTCTGCCGTCTGGTGACACTTGCTGTGGTTAACGCTGTTCGGTTTTACGGAAGCTGCAACCCGGACGATCGCTGTTCTTGCTCTCTAGGTTGCGGGCGGGCATGTTCAAACCTTTTGATGCACTTTTTCACTTATCCATTCTGGAAAAAAATGAACGGTCTCAGGCAAACATGAGATGGCCTTGTTGTTTTTTTTAAAAATCATTTCGACCTACTCTATTCAATAATAATGAGACCACTATACTCACAATAATAAGGCCCATTATTTCCTTCCGGGCAAGGGGCCCCTTGAGTAGAACACCAAGGGCACATAGCCGGTTCCGGTCAAAAGCTGAAGGGGCTACTCCCGTCCCATCGCGGAGCGTCTTCTGGCTGTCATTCTAGCGACACGGGGCGGGATCTCCTGGTGGATCAGGGGGCCATTGGAAGGATTATCATATCACATTGTCCCCTCCCTGACAAGGGAAGCCTTCTGACCCACTCAGTTGGCCCCGGATCAGCACAGGAACCCTCATTGACGTAAAAACACCCCTGATCGCCAAAGGTGGTCCAATAATTGTCACACAGGTTCCAGTTCCGTGTTGTTCTGTTTTCTTCAGAGATATTGAGGAATCCCTGAGCGTAGACTTGTAGATCAAACGGGGTCTTAAGCTTGCATTAACATGGCTAATCTGTATTCGTCTTAAAATGTTCAGGATTCAGCCAGAATTGATTACTGATAAAAACTATATAATACGGATTTGAACATACGCGCTCGCAAGTCATAGCAACAACGGCCTAAACGCCCGGCGTTGCAGTCTCCATAGGCCGCGTGGCGTCGGCCTGCGGTTATGACATTTAGTGGTTGCCAATAAGTCAACGAAAAAGGCGACGTATCTTGAAAAAGATGGCTAGTGAGCTACGTAAATGGGCATGTATATTTAAATGTGGTGCAAAATTAAGCTAAACACAACCTTAATCTGAAAGGTGGGGGGCCGGTTAACACTGCTGGCCCTCCACATTGAAAAGTGGGGGCCATGGCCTCCCTGGCCCCCCTGTTCCTACGCCCATGGTGGACAGCCCGAATGCAAAAATAAATCAAAAGAACCGTGTTTAAAGCTAATGAAAGGTTGTTGATCTTTTAAAAATAAGGTAAAAAAGAAAAGGGTACTGATCGAAGGCTCGAATATTTGCGTTTTCGGGGGGGGGGGGAAGGAATAGGCAACATACGAAAGGCGCTATGTGCAGAATAAAAATTTCATGAGATATCAGATAATAAGACTGGGTGCGAAACCATGCAAGGCTGAAACGCTGACCTATGACCCGTGTCAAGAGGTCACCTTTTCCACATCGACCTAGGTGAATATTCCTTGTTCAAGTTTCGTTGTACGAGCCTTGGTGATCCCGAAAGCGTAGCCTTTGATAATACTTCATGCATCATCTTGGGTCATACGACGCCAAAAACATACCAATGACAACTCGAGCTACGAAGACCCATCGGTGCATATCTCTTAATCCCGTAAGTCAGAGGACATTGATTTTATGCCAAGGTGGATTGTACTCATTAGGCAACACCTGGCACCAATATTCGGTACCATTTGAAACATGACCGTGCTAGATGGGCGCCCTGCTGGTGCTGCGCTGGGTGAGAACACACCAGCTAGCAGGCAATCGCTAGTGAGGGAAGCAGCACATGCCAATCAACGGCCTCATTGCTGAGCGCTGGAATGTGATATTTGTTTTACTGGGTGCTCATGCTAACATGCAATAGGACATTGTCCTAACAAAACTGATTCCCCAAGCATCTAGCTTGCTCGCGCGTTACTACACGCTTATTTTAACACCACTGCTTTTTGCCACGCTCATGGTGCAGAAAACTGCGCATTCGTAGGGGCCAGATTCAGGACCGCTTCTCGCCCCAGCTCGGCATCCCGTCCGACTTCCCTCGCGCCGCACGCTCCTGTCGCGGGCCGGCGGCGACTGCCCTTTGACCGGCGTCTCGCCCCAGGGCCACGGCCGGCGGTCAGCCGCGGCTGGCACGAAGCGCGCAGAGCGCTTCGGTCCGGCAGCCGGCCGACAACGCGTGCTGCTGCTGGCGAGTGGCATCCGTCTGCGCCTCCGGGGCCGTGCGCCGGTGGATCCTCTGTCGGCTTAGCAGCGCCCGCCATGACCCTCAGCAGGCGGCGACAGGTGAGTCGGAATGAACGGCCCCGGATGTGCGCCGTAGTAGGGGACAAACAAAAACGGCACCACCCGTCCGTTGACAGCTCGGGCCCATTCTCCGCAGAATTTACAGCGTCGGACGTTCGCCCGCGGAAGCCTGATTGCCACGATCCCTTTACAAACGCGCTGTCGGTTTCTAATTGTTGCCATCCACGGAGCACTTTTATAACGAAACACGCACGACTATATGACTACAATGGCGATGCAAAACAGAGTGCAGAAAATGATATTGCGTGTGCCGGTCAGTTGGAAACGGCGGCCCCCATGCTGGACGGAGGGAGGGAGCGAGGGGGGGGGGACACGGAGGAGTTTGCTCAATCTACGAGAAACAAGTCATCTAGAGACTGCCTTTCTCCAGCCTGTTGGTCGGGCTGCCATACCCCCCCCCCCCCCCAGCCATCAGGCCGGGGCGACCACTGGTGTGGCGCCAGCCGGGACGACACGGCAGTGTCCGGCGCTGTTGACAGGCGGCGACCCTGCTGTGGCTGCCGCTGCTGGCGGCCGCGACTGCCGCCCAGCAGGACCAGCAGACCTCCGGCTGGCTGGTGAGCCACGACGGGCCGCTCGCCGAGGAGATGACGCCGCTCGGTGTGCCCATGCCCAGGTTCCGGCCGCCAGGTACAGCACAGACGGCCGCCGCACCAGCTGGCCAGTCTACGGGCTGGAGGATATTTGGAGAAGTGAAGCGTCACGATGTCCGGGAAATTATCAACATATCTAGTGACTTTTTAGCGACAATTTCAGATTTCGCTCGGAAATGCGAAAAGTGGTCATTTATGGCACGAGAACACCGAATCTGAAGTCATATTTCGCAATATTACCTAACGTTCAAGGTCAAATTCAAGATTAGATAAAGATCTCCGTCCCGCCCAAAAGTTACCGGCCGACCGATTTCGGATTTTTTAGATCAGTTTTTTTTTCTCATTGCATGAACTTGAATATTGTATTATACTTAACTAGGGCCCTGTGGTGTGGCGCCAGCCGGGACGACACGGCAGTGTCCGGCGCTGTGGTGTGGTGCCCAAGCGGGCAGGGGAGCTGCGTTGGCGCCAGCGCAGTCCTCCGAGCAGTAGCGCGCGCTCTACCAGTCGTGGACACTGCTGGCGGACCAGCGCCCCCGGCGTGCCCTGTTCAACACGGGATGTACGGACACCCTGGTTCGCAGTGAGCTGCTACCGCACGTGGCGCCCGTGCGCGGTCAAGATGCGAACGGTGAACGATGGAATGTTGCGGCTGCGTGGGCACCGCCCAGGTGACGTTCGACTAGAGGCAAGCGAGTAATGCTCGCGAAGCTGGTGGTCCCAGATCGTCCATTGGGGTTGGACGTGCTGATCGGCATGTCCGGCATCACCGCGTTAGGAGGCATCAGTGTTCGGTCTCCCGACTGACGTGCAGCTGGGTGCGGGCAACGCAGGAGGCGCCGGAGTCGGCCAGTGACGAGCCGGCATGCGGCGTGGCGGCGCCGGGCAGCGGCACGCGAAGCTCACTGGCGTTGGAAAGCGGCGGATTTCACGGCTCGGTTCGACGGCGCTCACTGGAGTGTGGCGTGGAAGTGGGCGCATGGACGTGGTCTCGAACGTCTGGGGAAACGACGTGAGTGAATACGCTGTGCCGGCTGAAGCACGAGAGACCTACGACCGCGAGTTGGCTGAGTGAATGACGAACGGATGGCTCCGGCCCTATGACGAGCAAGAGGACGGGCCGGCTCGGGGCCTGATTCCCTTGATGGCAGTTCAACAGCCGCACAAGAGGAAGGTCAGGCCGGTGTTGGACTACTGCGAACTCAACCGGCATGTGACCGCGCCCACCGCGGACGCTGACGTGTGCGCCGAGCAGTTGCGCCACTGGCGCCAGCGTGGTGCCCGGTTGGCCGTGGTCGCCCTGAGAAAAGCGTGCTTGCAGCTGCGTCTGGAGCGCCGAAAGTGCTGATGCTGATCAGACGCAGGATTGCCCTCATGCGACAGTTGGTCGACGAGTTCCAGCTCTCGGTGACCCTCCAGCTGATGCGGTCACAAGACAATCCTGCCGACGCGCTCACCCGAGTTCCCAGACCTGGCTGCGAGCCGAGCCCCGAGATGCGACTTCAGCCGCAGCAGCCGCCACGCCAAAATGTTTCACGGCACCCTCGCGAGATGCGACTTCGGTGTCCGCAACTGTCGGGCCGGAAGAAGAGTTGCGGTGCCCCGGTGGACCAAGAAGCCGTTCACGAGCTAATGGCAAGCGACGTTCGTGTCCGGATTAAAGCATACACGAACGGACGTGGCACCAGGGGATCCGCCGGTCCCTGTGGTACGCCAGGCGGGACCTCGGCGGACACGTGGCACGGGCCGACGTGCGAGCCGTCGTCAGCCAGTGCGATGTGTACCGTTCCATTGACCCGGCGCCGACTCGCTGGCTGTCCGGCTCACTCGGCGTCCCGACAACATGGACCCGACTCGCGATCGACGTGACCCATTGCCAAGGTCGCCTCTACCTCACGATCGTAGACTGCGGGCCGTCCCGGTGCAGCATTTGGAGCGCACTGCGACGGTCCGACGCTGCGGAAGTAACGGATCATCTGCATCGAGGGTTCCTAGAACGTGGCGCCCCGGCTGAGCTTTTGCTGGTCAATGCCACTGAATTTCGGAGCCGGCGAATGGCTGTATTCGCCGCGAAGTGGGGGTTTCGGCTGTGATTTCGCGCGGCGCACGAGGCCGGCGGCAACGAAATCGTGGAGCGCCACCACCGAACTATAAATGTGATGGTCGCCCGCAACGGTGCTCAGTCAGTGAAGCGGTGCATCGGCATAATGCGACTCCGCGGGACGGCGCTAACTCGCTAAGCACGCCGATGGCGCGGGTATTTCGCGCAGGCGGTGCTGACCTGCCGAATACCCAGCGCGCTGCCGAACCCGCGCCGCCGCTGATGCAGGAACCCGTCTCATCGTCATTTCGCGTCGGCGATGCGGTGTGGATGCGGCGCCGGGGGCCCGCCACGCGGTATACCGATGTGTCGCGCCAGGGCGTAGTTACGCGGGTCGTGTCGGACCAGGTGGTTGAGGCCGACGGCACGCCCTGGCACGTGCGGTGCCTGCGGCGCCGGAACCCGCAGAAAGGCTCGGACGGGAGCCGAATGCCCGGTGCGGGTGAGGAGTTTGGGGACGACACAGGCACGCTGCCGATGACGAACATTCTATCGAATCATGATCACACGGGGGGGGGGGGCGGTTCAGATCCGCCTGCCGCTGCCACCGAGCCCGTCATTCGCGTAACCTGCTGAGTGTCCATTGCTAACGTGGAACGATCGCGCTGAAGTGTCGAGCGGCAGTACGAATTCTCAATCACTGTGCTGTGGTGAGCATGAATTGGATGAGTGCGGCGTGCGGAAACATGACTTGTTCGTGTTCAGCAACGGTGCGGCGCTACCACCGCCTCGGTCGGATCCTCCACAAGGAGAGAGGGTCACAAGAACCGCTGAGGAGCGGTTCGCGCTCGCCGGCAACCAGCCGAGTTGTACGGCTTCAGTGCCCCTACCGATCTCATTGACGATTATGAGTGGTTGTACATTGGTAGAGTGGCATGATTGCTTGCGATCAGGTGGAAGTGTGGTGTGATTGTGCGGGTGTGCGCCCTCGCCCTCGCTGTCTTCCGAGCTCTGCATCTGGCTGGGTGCCGGGGGGCGTCGCCTGACCACGGGTCTCCCGATCCGCCGGGGGTGAAGGGTCGACCGCTGAGGCGGCGGCAGGGACCCGGCGCTCGCATGCGCCAGTCGGTTTTTGGACGGGTCCGGGCGAATACACGCTATGTTCTCTTACGCGCTCGTAAAATGTGACCTGGAAAGGTCGGAATTCTGACGGATGCTAGTTCCCTGCGCCGGTGAATAGTCTAACGCTGAAAAGTCCGAAATCAGCAGGCAACGTTTGGATGATGTGGGGCTTTGTCATTTGAACTAGAATATGACCTTAAATGACAGTAAAATTAATAATTTGGCCTCGGAGATAGGGTGATGTAAAATAGACGTCAGATGCGGTATTCTTGTGCCGTGATTGATCATATGACGTTTTTTTCAGGGAGGTTCAAATTCGCTGCTACATAACGTTGCGTCGCATTCTTTTCAACTATTGTAACCATGACTGCTCAAAAGCAGCACTTCGTCAGCGCGTTTTTCGATTGTCCTGCACTGGCGAAGGTTCTGGTCGGTCTCCTTACGTGGTTATTGGCGATCAAAAATATTATTAGTTGCCAAATTATGTAAGTATTGGTAAAATTTTTTAAAATCATTGCATTTAATATCTTGGCACAAATCATTTCGCGTCTAACACAAACTTGTGTGGTATTCCTATTGATGCTAACGCGGATCACTCTATCAGACCGCGCCGTGCCGTAGTGCACCCGTGTCGTGACCTATGCCGTCTGACCTATGCCGACCTATGCCGTCTGACGCAGGGTACGCTCCGCCCACGCTGCGCTGTCCGGTCGGCTGGCAGTGGGATGGCCGCCGCTGTGGAGGTCAGTTTCGCACCAGCTTGGGTCCAATAGTAACGTCTGAGCTGACCAGCACACAGTTCAGCTCAGGTGATGCTCCATTCGGCACAAAATGGGAAATGCGTCCTCCTGTGCTTGCCTTTACCGAGATGACATGTACCTGCACTGAAATGACACATAGCGACGTAGAAGCATAGAGCACGTATGCATGTTTACAAGGACACGCACCCCGGTCGGCTCACCCGCTTCACCATTTCGGCCACGCGTGCCTTTCCAGATGTCAATGAGTGCCGGCTGGAGCGAAACGAGTGCCGCAGCGAGCGCGTGCTCTGCATGAACACGTTCGGCAGCTACCGGTGTATGTGTCGGCACGGTTACATCGGAGACTACTACACCGTCGGCTGCAAAACAGGTTAGTGCCGCGGCCACCCACCGGCCCAAGCTCGGGTTGGTCGGCCGGTGCCAAGTGAACGAATGCTTGCTTTCTGATGAGACATCTTTGTGCCCGACTGCAGCCGCGCAATTTCCGAAATCTTCGTGTTTCTCAAATCAGGAGTGATGCCGTCCAGGCGGGGATTAATCGTCACAAGACGCGGCTTCAGTTGGCGAAACGCGGAACAGCCGGCGTTCCCTGCAACTCTCTATCTCTGCGACACCAGAAGCCTACAGAGGCGACAGGCAGAACTGTTGGGCCCAATGAAGCGCTAGTTTTGGGCGGCCGGCCCTGACTGAGCATTGTCTGACGCGCCCGCGAGATCACGTCTGCGTATCTGATCTGCCGTTCCGCCCGCTCCCTTTCAGAGGAAGAGTACTGTGCGACGAGGTTCCGCGCGGCTGAGACCCGGGCTGAACCCTAAACGGCCGCACCAGCTGCCGCCGCTAGCAGGAGCGGCAGCAGGAGCTGGAGCCCTGATTGGACCGCGACCGACCTCGGCGCGAGGTAGAAGCTCTCCCCCCGACACCGGTGCTCGAGCGGCTGAGGTGGTGCGCGCGGCCAAACAAATACAGCTCTCTGCGAACGTCTGGCGTGTGTGATTCTGGTGGCCGGACTGACGAGGCTGTGGGCAGCGGGGCCCGTCAGGACGCCCGCGAACGTGCCCACCCCGGCACCGCCCGAGCACACAGACTCGCGCCGCCCCCTGTCTCGCCGGCGGCTGCAGGCGTGGCGACACATGACGAGCTGAGCGGGAGACGCGCCCATCATCGTTCGCTTGTGACCTGTCAGGCGCCGCGTGGTCACATTAAGCAGCTGGCCAGGTCAGACGCCGAACCGTCGGACGTCTGTGGCGGCTGGACAGTCACTGGCACGTGCAGACAGCTCGCAGAAAGGTGTAATCCTCCGTTCTGGCCGATATTTTGGCACGCTTTGATAGACGCGCATGAGACGGACAAATTGGAGTTGCCACAACTTGCGTCCCACACCCTGCCACATGTTCCATCCCCTCGCCTGCCTTCATGCGCCGCAGAATGCCCTCCGCTCCCCGTTTCACCGAGCGGCAGGAATGGGCAGTCACCAGTGCAGTGGCCACCTCGGCTCACGTACCCGTCACGGGGCTACCATGCCCGCCTGTGCTGCTGGCCGCCGCCTGGGCGTCTTCGCTGCCGACCGCGCGCCGCCTGCACAGGCCGGTCTCGCAGCACATGTATATTCCACTACATAGCGGCAGGCTAACGCGGAGGGCCCCGGCACCGACCGGCAGTTACAAAACAACGGCGCCGACCGCTGGCGTCCGCGCGCCAACCGAGCTGAACGACGCAGGCCTAAGTAGACACCGCGCGGGCAACACGAAACGAGGGCGGGATCTCTAAAAGAGCAGCTATCACATCGTAAGGAATGTCACGTTGAACGTGCCGGGAGAGGCACGAGACGACGCCGACGCGGCGGACCGCGCCACGCGGCGAGTCAAATCACATGCCAATCATAAAGCGCTCCAATTGTGACCGTAACTGAATCGTCGACCGTTGCAGACGAGGGAAACATACATCGCTGACGCCCGCCGGGGTCGTGGAATCCCGTGAATTAGCTGCCCGTTGCGGAGCACCGCCGGCCAGACACGCGCCGCACTGCCGACTCGCACAGCACCCGTGCGAGCAGAGCAGCCGTCGACAGTATTGCCACAGACCTGAAGCTGATCCTCCGCAAAATCAACAAACCATGATAAAGCTATCGATAACAAAGAACATAAATAGACATAAATAGTTGCCTGCCCGAGCCGATTGGCGCGCCCGCCGCCGGGGCCGGCGTAATTTCCCCTCGGTACACACCCCAGGCGTATCGGCGCGGGCCAGCCGGGCCGCGGCCGTCCGTCAGCACCGGCCGGCGTGGTGACCGCCCGTCGCGCTCGTGCGTGGCGCAGTGCCCTCCGCCCGGGCGGCGGCGGCGGGCCGACGGCGCCATCTCTCGGTCGGCGCCGTCCCGGAGCCGACTCCACCGCAGTAGGCGCAGTAAGCGGCTCACAACTTCTTCAGCATGGGCAAGTTGAGGATGTCCGGGATCTCGATGTCCTCTAGCCGGATGTTGGAGGGGTTGAACGGGAACCGCACGGGGAAGGCGAACTTGGTGTCCATCAGCAGCCGCGCCTGCAACGAGCCCGTGACGTCAGCCGTGACGTCAGACGAGCGGGCGGCGGCCGGTGGGTGTGCCTACACACCAACAGTGCCACAGCCCGACACAGTGTCCTCAGGCCCGCCACTGAGACAGCGGCGCAATCAGCACCAATCTACCACAGGATGTCATCGCCCATAGACAGCTGGGAGCCGAAACCACTTTGTAAACCCACGTTTACATTGAAGACAAAACTGGGTGCACACGATATTTTCACTAGACTGGCGGGAGCATTTTCTCACAAAATACGAGTAGTCATCAACAATCTAGTAACACCGCAGTCAAGCACCCAACAGAACATTGCAACCTTGCATTCTATCTCCCCCTCCCACCACAACCCACTTCCCACTATCACATCTATCATCGCGACAGATGCAGCAGAGGTCACCACCAGCCGAGTGGAGGCGGTGGCGCCTGACGCAGCCCGCCACTGACCGAGCTGTCCGTGTCCGGCTCGCGGTGCTTCTGCAGATGGTCCTGAACCTTGCGAATGAAGCTGATCGGTACGCGCTCCTCGTATTCGTCCGGCGTGTACAGGTTCAGGATCTTGATGATCTGCGGCACCGGGAGGCCCGTTAGTGGGCTCAGCTGACGCCGACAGCCAATCCGCGCGCGGCCCAGGCCCCGGCCAGCGAGGGCCGTCACAGACCGTCCGTCTGTCGGCGCGACCCCACTCTCACGCTGAACACACCGCCAGCCGGCGGCGCGCGCCAGGCCGGGCCACGTCCGGCCCGTCAGAGCGGGTGTCGGCGGCGCGGCGGACCCGCCACCCACCTGGGGAGAGGTGAGCTTGTCGCACATGTCGCAAACACGCGACACGTCCTCCTCGGTTTTTGCGCGCCTGCAGCAGCTGCGACGCCTGAATGATGGGCTGCAGCGTGTCCATGACGCCCGTCTCCTGGTCCTGCTGCCGGCGGCGAGGGCGGGCCGTCAGCGGCGACCGGCCGCGTGGCGTCACACATCATGGGCTGCACGGCACCACCGAACGGCAAACGTTCGACCAGTGCCGACCAAGCATTGGCAACGGAAAAATCAGGACGTAATGCATGTGTGTCGCAATGCTTCAGCTCGTGATAGCCTCGTCGCAACATCCATCCCACTGGCGTTTTTCCCGGCGAATGGAGGCCAATAATGCGCTGAATAACAGGTACCCGGGCGGGGCCCGGGCAGGCTCAAGCCGCCCGGTTTAGGCTGTGCCCGGCGCCTAAAGGTGCCGCCCCCAAACCGTATATCGATTCCCCTGGCCGGAGGATTGACAGGGGTGGAAAATGCGACGTCACCAGTGAGACCACAGTCCTGCCCCTCGCCGTTGCGGCCGCCGGAGAGGGACGGCAGGGGTCACGCCTCACGTGGAGCCGGTTGTCCCTGCACCACTGCTCCAGGTGCGAGAGGTTGTAGCGGATCTGCATGCCCTTGGTCCAGTGGCACAGCTCCTTGCGCAGCAGCAGGTTGTTCAGCGAGTGCGCGCATATCGAGTAGAACAGCTGGAGAGAGGGACGGAGAAAAGTCAGCATCAGAGGCGTGCGGCGTCGGCAGGCCGACAGCCAGACGCTGCTCGACAGCCCGCTACTGAGCACGCGCCAGCTCAGCTATCCTCGCCATATGTCACATCACAGGCAGAAACACGGAACTTCCCAGTACTGAAGACAGCTGTGGGCATGTCAAACAGACGTTTCCACCTGCATACACGACCTTTTCCAGGTACCAAATACTCCTAGACTACACAGCGTCTGCTTAGAAACCAAGCCGATTGACACGCGCGAGTCACACGTAGACTGCATGACGAGGCATGCCGCAGTCCTCCCCAGCTGGACGCGGAAGCCGGACGTTCTGGGTTTGACTGCCTCCCGCCGGCCCGCACCGGTCCGTGGCCCAACGTGACGCCGTGTTCCGCCTGCAGCCGCCGCCTCCCCAATGAGCGCCGGGGCCCGGCCGCCGCGTGCAGTGGCGGCCCCCGCTGACCTGTTTGAAGACCTGCGCCGTGATCTCCGGGTCGACGCCGAGCTCGCAGAGCGTGCGGTAGATCTTGCGCAGGCTGGCCATCAGGGCGTCCAGGGCGTGCTCGCTGCTGACGGGGCTCTCCAGCTGGCGGGACGAGGAGCCGGCACGACCGCGGATACCGGCCGGCCGACCCGTCAGGCCGGCGATGGCCTCGTGCTCCAGCACGGCCGGCACCACCACCGGCTGCACGCGCTCCTCCAGCAGCTTGATCACCAGCTGCCGCACAGGATGGCGGGGTTAGTTCATCACCATCGTCTGCATGCGCTCTCCCAGCCGCCTGACCCCCTGCTGACGCGCACGGCGGCCAGGTAGGTTCAGAGGGCCTGGTCGGGTCCACGAGGTATAGTCACACGGCTGCGTCAGACGGGGGCAGCATACGTGACACATTCGCACGCCACTTTCGAGGGGTCAAGGCAAGCGCACCCGGCACATCCGCAGCGGGCCGAGCCGGGAGACCGGCGTACCTGGTATATCCGGCACATTCGCAGCGGGCCGAGCCGGGAGACCGGCGTACCTGGTATATCCACATTGCGACGTCGGAGAGCACCTGGCGGTACTCGGACAGGTCGAAGCTCTTCAGACACTGCTCGTTCTGCTTCTCAGTGTTCTCCGACTGGAACGCCTGGCACGCAACAAAACTGAACGTGAATGATGTGACAGATGGGCGGAATCGCGCTACCAACATTACGTCGGGAAAGCAATGCCTAAGTGTGCATACCTTTCATAAGGATCACGGTACAGGGTTACATTAATCCTCAGTAGACAAAACGCAACCACAGCCTTTATTAAATAACTGAACCGGCATTCGCACAGCATTAGTCCACGCGTCCAACGTTTGGATACTTGCCTCCCATGCTCAGATACCACTTCACTTCCACGTAAGCTTCACACATGCCATCAAGCGTCCCGTTCCGTCCCATCCCGTCCCGTCCCGTCCCGTCCCGTCCCGTCCCGTCCCGTCCCGTCCCGTCCCGTCCCGTCCCCGTCCCGTCCCGTCCCGTCCCGTCCCGTCCCGTCCCGTCCCGCTCACCACGTCGCCGCTGTACTGTTTGAGGTTGTGCAGCAGGCGGCACACGTTGGCCAGCCACATGACGAGCGAGTCGGCGTCGTCGCGTCGCTTCTTCACCACGCGCTTGACGCCGTTGATGGCGGCCGTCAGCAGGCGGCGCACCTTCTCGTCGTCGTTGACATGGTCCGTGTGTCGAATGCACATGAACAAGATGTAGGCGGGCAGGCCGGGCAGCAGGACGGCCGCCGTCTTCGGTCGCAGGTCTGGCGGACCGAGGGTGAATTCACCAGCCATCGCCAGCACGACAACATCGGCTGCGACATCGGTCACGGGTCACAGGTCGTCGAGACAGTCTCGGCAACAGTCGCGGTTACAGTCGCGGAAACACGTGACGGTCGCGACGACGGCCCAGCCGTGTGTCTGGCGAAGGAGCTCAACCCCCGAGTCACCGATCCTGAGCCCCGCTCCCAGTCACGGCCCGGCTCCGCTCCCAGTCGCGGCGACGGTGACCGCGACACTCATGCCGACAGGTCATGTCACAGTCACGGCAACCGTCACAGTCGCAGCACGTGAGCAGCAGGACTTATCGCCGAGCAGCTACGCCATAATTCATCCCCTAACAGACGACTGTCTTCCATCGAAAACACAATCTTCATATCGTTGCCAGACCTGGCACGGACAGTTCGGTACCACTGAACTCTTAAGCTCGGTAAACAACTATCCTAACATCTGAAAAGCTTGCGAGACGCGGTCCACACAACGAGGCACGCTCAAGAAAGAACCTGACTTCAACACACCACTCAAGCAAATAGGTCAAGTGAATATGTCAAGTGAGAGCATTCATAAGACCAACACGAAGTAAGTCCCGCCAGACCCACCACACCACAACGACCCAGGACACCGCCTCAGCACAGCGCCGCAGGCAACAGAGCCCTACAGAGCAGCCATGACCGGCCGACCAGCCGGCCGGCTGGTCAGTTGGCTGAGGCCGGCCACAGCAGCGCCGCAAGTGTGGCGAGTGGGATGCACAGCAGGGTGTCGGCACATGCACAGATGGACACTGCCCGGGAAAATAACTCTGGTCCTGCTTCAAGCACAACAGAGGCGCCACGCGTGATGTCTGCGGCAGCGAAACAGGCTTATACATAACAGTTCTCGGTAAGTGCCGAATACAGGTTAGGCAGATTCCACTGAATCATACCGAACTGTATAGCAGAACTAAAACATGGCATCTCCTCGAGTGCGGGAAAACTGCCCATAAGCAGCCGGCCCGGTGGACTGGGCGGACCGCTGAGCGTGGTGCCTCACCGAAGATGAGACTGCGGATGAGGGCCTCCTCGTCCTCCTTCTTGTACTCGAACATGCCGACGTAGTCGACGCTCTTGTGCCGGATGACGGGCATGGCGGGGCCCTCCTGCTGCGGCCCCTCCAGCAGCTCAGCACCGGGCTCGGCGCCTGTCGGCGGGCAGGGCGGCCGGTCAGAGCGTCCCACCCAGCCCACAAAGCGCGGCTCAGAACGGCACGACAGACAGATCACCGAACAGAACAGCACAGGTCACTCGTCGCCTGTCGACAGAACACATAGTCAGAAGAGAACAGGGCGCACTGTGGTGAGAGGGAGAGAAAGAGAGGAGTGAGTGAGTGAGTGAGTGAGGTCGAATGTGTGTGTGTGTGTTGTGTGTGTGTGTGGTGTGTGTGTGTGTGCGTGCGTGCGTGCGTGCGTGCGTGCGTGCGTGCGTGCGTGCGTGCGTGCGTGCGTTGCGTGCGTGCGTGCGTGCGTGCGTGCGTGCGTGCGTGCGTGCGTGCGTGCGTGCGTGCGTGCGTGCGTGCGTGCGGTGCGTGCGTGCGAGAGAGAGAGAGAGGAGAGAGAGAGAGAGAGAGAGAGAGAGAGAGAGAGAGAGAGGAGAGAGAGGAGAGAGAGGGAGAGAGGACGAGAGAGGAGAGAGAGGAGGAGAGAGAGAGAGAGAGAGAGAGGAGAGAGAGGAGAGAGAGGAGAGAGAGGAGGAGAGAGAGACGAGCAGAGAGGAGGAGAGAGAGACAGCAGGCGAGAGGAGAGAGAGGATGAAGAGAGAGAGCGAGAGAGAGAGAAGACAGCCGGCAGCTGACCGTGGACAGGACTGAACACAGCACAGGCCTGCAGTCACACAATAACGTCAGAGCGCAAAGTTGATCTCACCAGACCGCAGGCGCATGCGACGAGTATTCAGATGACAGCCCTCAGTCTCCCATCTGGTCCTCCAGCATTATCCGTCACGATACCAGGACAGAAATACAGCACACAACATGGAGGAGACACGCGGCATGGGACGACACCTTCTAACGTGCAGCGGCCATGCAGAAGCGGACGGGGGGTACCGGGGCCGGCCTCGGCTCGGGCTCGGGCTCGGGCTCGGGCTCGGGCTCAGGCTCGGGCTCGGGCTCGGGCTCGGGCTCCGGACTGGACTCGGGACACAGGGCTCCGAAGCAGCGGAGCGCAGGCGTGAGGTTACCGAGCCTGGACCGGGGTCGGACGGGGCGCCGGCCCATGACATGGCCACATCACGCCGCCCGCGGCGCGCCACTGCAGCACCACCGGCCTTCAATCAGCCGGCCGCAGCGCCAAAGCACGCAACGCTCGGCCGTGCTGTTGACTTTCGCCGCCATTCAACCCCGGTCATTCGTCAATGTGTCTATGACTAGGGGAAATTGTCCGTTACTTTGCAATAGCCTGAAGAATGGGGCCGCGCGCCGCTGAACTACGGCACATCCCGCCAACGCATAGTCCAATCAAGTCATTAGATCTGGGAAAATTAGAAGACTGCACGATCACATACATGCATGCGATTCCCGTTGCAAAGGATACGACTAGTTATATGATTAATGGGCTATCACAGAACGCAGAGTCACTTGAAATGTTTCGGAACGTTACAACCCTCCTATCCCTACCCTTAGACCACCGCAGCTTATCAAAATGGGTCAAGTACATGCTAATCCACCACGGTTCACTGCCTTCCTGAGACTGCAACGCGTTTGCATAGTACATGCTGCATTTATGCAACGATTCGGCCGTCCTGGTCCTCGGCTGCCGTGACCCCGTTTGACCTAACCATTGCCTTAAGGCAAGGTTTTCGCCACCTTGTCATGGCACTTGCAGGAAACACCATGGGCAGACTCCACCTCAACGCAGGTAGCATCACCGGCGTGTCGCCCAGGATAACAGGACATCTAACGACCGGAAGCAAGGTCGCCTGTAACCGGCCGACTCCGTCGAAAGCAGTCGGGGTCAGGTCAGCGGAAGTGCAGCGCCAGTGACCAGCCGTCTACCGAACCAGCGCCGAATGGTCGTGCTCGGGGAGCTCCGCAGGGCACCCTGTTTGCTGGCGGAGAGCTCGGGGGGGGGGGGGGGGGGGGAAGGGTTGCGTCGGAACGCACGGCGAATCACAAACCCCTGTTAACGACCGAGTCCCTCCCCTCCGGTGACACGCACCGCCTCGGCGCGGGGCCGCAGTCCGGCGACACGTCTCGGCGCGGGGCCGCAGCCCGACGACACGTCTCGGCGCGGGGCCGCAGTCCGGCGACACGTCTCGGCGCGGGGCCGCAGTCCGGCGACACGTCTCGGCGCGGGGCCGCAGTCCGGCGACACGTCTCGGCGCGGGGCCGCAGTCCGGCGACACGTCTCGGCGCGGGGCTCGCCCCCGACCTCCACCAGCCCGCGCGCCGCCCACCGCAGCCGAGCCCGCCACGAGCGTGAGACCGGCCAGCTCGAGCCGCGACTCGGCCGCCCGCCGGCGGCTCGGACGCGGCGCGGTACCGCCAGCGCCGCCGCCGATGACGGGGCGGGTTCGGGCGGCGCCGTGTGACCCCGCCGCCGGAGGTCAGGTCGCGGGTAACGGACCGCCACTTGGGACAGCCAGCCGCTGCCGGTGACGGCGGCAGGAACTCGGCCCGGCCGGGCCGCCGGACAGACGCTTCCGCCGGAGCCGGGGCCCGGCCGACACGGGCAGAGGCCTTCCACCCCGCCGCTGCCCGAAGCCGCGCTGCAGTACGGCCACGGCGGGCTCCGCGGCCAGGCCGAGCCAGCAGAACCTTAGCGCCGCCTCGATGCCCGGGAGGACAGACCGCGCACAGCAGGCAATAATTCGATCCTCTTCTTTGCAGCCCGCGCCGGGGTTTTAAAATGCGGGTTCCCTGACGGGCCCGCTGACCCACAGAACGTCTGATGCAGAGCACGCCACGGCGGCGACCAGAGAACGTCGAATGGCGGCCCATCGAGGGGAGGACTGTGTGCAGGGAGTCGTCCCAGGTCTGGCTGAAAACCCGTCCGCAGTCACACCGCGGCTGTGACTGGGATATCACCAGCAGCCGAGTCACACGGCCGGAAATACAACGGAAGCGGCACAAGCCAACACTGTCCAGCGCGCGCCGGCCGAGAACGGAGGCGTACCAGCGGGGTCGGAGAGGCGGGCAGCAAACCAGCAAACCCCCGGTCAGACGGCAGCGGTAGCAATTTGCGATGTTCGACCATCGCCACAAACACATCATATGGCACCAGCTAAGATTGCCGAAGCCTGTCCGTTCCCATGCCCGTGCCATAAGCCACGTTGCTGTTCAAATCATCTCACCGCCGACGGCGGATACTGGCGCCGCTGAGGAACTTGGTCGGAAGCCACTCGGAGCCCTGCGGCCAGAGGCCAGATGCCGCGCCCCAGTGTCAGTCAGCTCGCACGGAGAGAGGCTCGGGCGCGCGCCAGCCGAGGTTCAGCCATGGTCTCGCACAGATCGGGTTATGGACCAGCCTTGTCCTGGGCGCACCGGACTGACTGCCGCGTGACCGGCGCCTGACGCGCCCACTCCAGTCAGGCGGCGGCGGCAGTCCCGCCACCTCCACCTCGTGGCACGCGCCGTCTCACTTTGTCCCATGTTCTGGTCTATATACAACACAACGCATTAGTCTATAGGAAGGTCAGGATCTATACACTGTAAATCCCTGCCAGTATACCAGCCCCAGCCAGCAGCCACATAAGCAGCACGGCGGCCAGCCACTGATTGTCCCGACACTGAGCGTCAGTCCCACGGACGCCACGGCCACCTCCACCACACCAGCGGGCCACCGCATCAGAAGCGACCGGCGTCACTGCGTCGGGCCGGGGCCGAGCGACGCCGCGCCAACTGACTGTGCGACAGCTGCAGCAGCGGCAGCGGCAGCAGCCGGCCGACCGCGGCCACGCCCGACCGACGCCGACGGTCCAGCAGCGGCGGCGGAGGCGGCGGCTCCTGCAGTGCGCGACCCTCCAGCACCTCCAGCAGGCCCGGGTTGAGCAGGATCGGGTCCGGCCGGCCGGCGCCGGCAGCGGCGGCAGCGGCGGCAGCGGCCGGCGAGCGGGTCTGCTCCAGCGGCGGAGCGACCGACGGCCGCGGCGCGGGAGGCGGCGGCGTCTGCAGCACACTGACGGGAGGCGAGGCCGCTGCCTGCCACTGCCACCGGCTGAACAGGCTGGCCAGCCGCTCACGGAACGTGCCGACCGCCGGAGAGCCGTCCGCCGCGGCCGGAGAGCCGTCCGCCGCGGCAGGAGAGTCGGCCGCTGCGGCCGGAGATGCGACTTGCGCGGCCGCCAGAGACGACGGCGTCGCGCCGTCACCGTCGCCGTCGGCGGGGGTTGGGCGCCGAGAGCGGTGGCGGGGCAGCGTCACTCTCCGGGTCCAGCGGGTCGGCCGCAGCCACGCCCTGGTCATCCAGCTGCAGCACGGCCGGCGCGCCGGCGCCCAGGCCTAGCCATGAGCTGACCAGCTCGCCCAGCGCGCCCTCGTCGTCGCCGCCCAGGCGCTCCGACTCAGCCACCACCTCGGCCATGTCTGGGTCGGCCATGGCGCGGTCGAAGCCGAGCATGGTGGCCGCTGAGCGCTGCCCGCCGGCTGAGCAGCGCCGCCGGACCGGATGTCACCGCCGTTCGGTCACAGTCGCTGCCAGACCGAGCGACGGGCGGTCCCGCAGGCGGGCCGGGAGCCCCACGCCGCGTCTGTCGCCGCCGCCGTCCACGAAACACTCCCAGCCACGTCGCGACACAGCTCAGGTCGCCTTCTGTCGGCGCCGGCGGGGCGTCACGCTCGCCGCGCCGTCCGTCGTCGCGCGCTCCGGCAGCGTCGCACCTGCCTCGTCTCACGCACAGCAGCTCCGCTGCGGCAGCGGCGCCCCGGCCGCCGGCTATCGGCCGAGACCCGGCCCGATAACGCCAGCCCCGATAGCGGCCGGCCGGCGGCGGCAGACATCGGATGGGGCCGTCGCGGCCCGGCACGCAAGCCCAGCTCGTCACGAGCGTCCCGCCGAGCTGGCGTGGTCGTGTCGACCGCGAGTGGGGAGGGCGGCGCCGGTGGAAGCGCGAGTCGCAGCCAAGCGCGGCCGCGGACCGGCGCGTGGCGGTATCCGGTGCCTCTGGTGCGTTCTGCCCGCCGGCCTGCTCAAGGCGAGTGACGACCCC